CACACACACACACACACACACACACACACACACACACACCATACACTCTTTGTAGGTTCCCACACCAGTCTCAGTAGCTCTTGTGGAAATGTTGTATCTTTCTGTAGTCTTGCTAATTTAAATAATTTTTTTCGTCTTCAACAGTTCACATTTCAGGTTAGACCATCATAAACACTCCCTCCAAAACTGGGGAATTTTTATTCTCCCAGTTTTCACATTACATGGAAACAGAAATGTGCTCTATATTTGCAGAAAGGTAGTTATGATCTTAGAGCATTCTTAAATAATTCTTTTAGATATATGTAACTGAAAGAAAAAATAGCAATATTCTGTTTTGTTTTGTTTGTATATGTGATAGCTAGGAATCAGAGGCTCTAGAATCCAGGAGTTCCCGTCTCCAATGACTCCCTGGAGCTCTGGAAGCTCCACATCCTGCTCAGCCTTCCCATCCCTCCCGACTTGAGACAACACCTTTATTGCCCTCAATGTATCCTTCCTTGGGGCTGAGGAGGGGATGCTGAGAACAGTGACTGGCAGCTACCCTATAGGCCACTTACTGGAGGGGCTTACTGTTTGAGGGAGGGATTAAATGAGTTTTGAAGGCTGTCTGAGCACCTGTTTTTCAGAGGCCTCCATTTAGTTACATTTGTATATATGTAGTGGGATATTTGATTTTGATTTCATATTGGTTCTGTATCATTTTTTGAGACAAATATCGATGGGGACAATGTGGAAATGAATGGAAGAAGATGGACTATCCAGGAGCAGAATTGTTCTTTAATTAGAACAGCTGAAGGACCACAGTTTCTCCGAAGTGAGACTGTGTCCCTGTAGCATGGGGGCCTTGGGCTTTACAAGACGAGAAGAGGAAACTTTGGGGATGAAGAGTTCTACTATAGGTCACCTTGCCTGCAACCTGGAAGTGGTGATGCCACCTGGTTTCGTGTGTGGATCTGCTTAGCAGATGCTTCCACTGGTGTGGTCATACTCAAGTATGCTTTCCGGTCCCGAGCTTCTCAGTCCACCCGAGGCTCTTAGGTCCTTAACCCCTCCATTTTCCCACAAACTTAGTGACTGCACGTGCTACAAATTCATTATCTCCACATTCGAGAGGTCCAAACCCATTAGTGGCACCACAGAACCTGGCACCGTGCTCTCATCAAGCTCCCAGGGGGAATCTTGGTTTTGTTTTCCTTTGCCAGCTTTTGGCTGTGGCCATATTGGTGGCCTGGCATCACAGGCACCTCTGCCCACATCTATTTCTTACTCCGAAGCTTCCTGCTTCTCTCTCCTCTAATTACCTTTGCAAATTCATTACACTTTCCTTGATACTGTAGGTCAGTGTCCCTGTCTAAAACCCTTAATTAAACAGCACCAGGTACTTGCTCCTATATAAGATAATAAAACAAAATATTTACAGGCCTTTCGGGTGGGACTAAGTATCGTTTTAGGTACAGATATTGTATCTGATATGCTTAGTGTCCTCTGATGGAAACCCTGGTGACCAAGTGACTACAGAAGGCCTCTGTGCTCTGCTTTCTTTCTAGACCCTCTGAGATGGACGACCTCTGTGAAGCCAATGGCTCTTTCGCCATCAGCCTACTAAAAGTATTGGGTGAAGAAGACAAGTCACAAAACCTGTTTTTCTGTCCACTGAGTATCTCCTCTGCCCTGGCTATGGTCTACCTGGGAGCCAAAGGAAACACCGCAGCCCAGATGTCCCAGGTATGTTTGCTGGAAGTTTCAAGGAGGAGTAGAGGCAAGGAAAATATCAGGTTGGTTTTGTCTCCTTACAGCAGGGGTTCCTTCTGTATCCTCAGCTAGAGGGTGGAAGTCAGTGTGGCTGACTGTGGAGGAGAGACACTGTGGTGATCCTGATGTGGGTCAGTATAGGAGGAGGACAATCATGATCAGCTATCCTCTCTACAGTTTACAGGAGACATTGAGTGTTAAATTACTGTATTTAAACAAAAGTCATCAAACATTCTGATAAGTTCACCTCTTGCAGAAAGATAGTAATTAGAGTCCTGCCCCACACAAAGGAACAGGACACACCCCAACTTTGTTATTTTTCCAGCTTTTTTAGTGTTATGTTTTAAAGAGTAATGCAGCTGTGGAGAATGGGTGACTTTTCAGGTATGTTTACATGTACCTCTAACTTGAAAAAAATGAGCACACGTATGGAATCATTTAGAGAGAACACATAAATCTGCTAGATATCAAATAGTTGTCTCTATCTTTATCTGCAAATGAGGAAATAGAGATGTTTTGAAGACATATTTTCAACCATATGGCAAAGCATCACATAAATTGCCATATGCATATCACTTTGCCACTAGCATGAGAGTGTGTGATGATCCCCTGCACTGCAGCAACCAGGGGACCACAGCTGAGATCTTCTCATTGAACTCACTGGGGAAGAAACCTTGGGAGTGAGACTTGGTCAGAGTCAGAAAGGAAACCTTAACTCTCGCCTTATTTTGATGTAAATCGTGGTCTGGTTTGGAAAAACCAAAAACTTTTGAACGATTCTTCCTTTTCATTTCTGTTATTTTATCCTTGTGTTCTCAGGTTATCAGATTCCCACCTGCTCTCTAATTTTTCTGTTGCCCATCAATCCTGAGGTGTCACATGATCTTTTTCTAGGATGGATGAATCCTTCAGACCAGTGACTCTCACTCAAAAAGGCCATTTTGCTTCCCCAGAGACAGTGCTTTAATTACAGCAGAGAGATGCTACTGACATCTAGTGGGTAGAGGATACAAATGCTGACAATGTTCTGCAAACAGTAGGCAGCCCCATCATGACTTCAGATGGCAAGCCTGTAGGGTTGAAAACCTATTGAGACAGTCACACCATACTCCTTGTACTGTAAGAACATTCACATTTTCCTCTCTTAGCTGGGTTTGTGTGTAGAAGGGGAGATAATGACCATGTTAAACGGTCTGTTTATTTATTCTATCCTAGGTACTTGGTTTGAACAGAGATGGAGATGTTCATCAAAGTTTCCAGACACTTCTCACGGAAGTTAACAAAACTGGCTCTCAGTACTTGCTAAAAAGTGCCTGCAGACTCTTTGGAGAAGAATCATGTGATTTCCTTTTGGTATGTAGTACACAGACATTGAGGAAAAGACGTTGAAAAAGGATAAAAAAAGACAAAAATTAAAGAAGAGCAAGAGATGAAGTCTAACTCTTTCACCATAGAAGTGTGCTTAGAATTACACTTGTGACATTGTAATTACGAATTTTCGGGTTGCTTTTCAATAATAACTTCTCAAGTTCTTTTCCTGACAAATCCCTCTGTGAAGTGGAAGTTAATATGTCTCCTCTTTCACCAAGATGGATATACTTACCCATTGTCCCCTGCCCTTGAGTGACCATAGCATCCACCATGTTATATTGAGCCCCTCCCCATTCTACCTCTGCTTTGGGACTGAGTGTTGTTGAGACAACTTCACAAGGTCTCTAAGGTCTGTCTACTCTATATTCTAAATCAGCACTGTTGAAGGAATTCTGATGGTTGTGGGCTAGGTCCTCTGCATCATTATAGATTGCTTTTAACAGGTCTTTTTATACCTGCATTGGCCATTTCCTGTCTCAAAAATCCAACCACTGGAAAAAAAATAGCCTTTCTAAGATAAAAATGTCTTCATGATTGAGCATATAATTCCACACTCACTTACTTCCCACAGTGAGGTCTGCCAGTCATGCCAAATAATATGCAGAATGTCACTGACATGAAATCAGTGAAATGAATGGTACAAGCTTGACTGTTTTATTGGGTGAAAGTTCTTAGGAGCATGCATTCTGTCCCGGATGGGGTGAATTCTGTCCCCTGTCAGCTCCCTGCTTTGGTCTCATCTATCACTGGAGATGATTCTGGATCCCAAGATTCTTTTAGTGAATTCATTTTCATTTGGAAAGTAAGCTTTATCTTTTAGTATCGGTAGCACAATGGCTCACATTCTACCTTTCTAGTATACATGGTCCCTAAAACATTTTAGAATATGTATTGGGCAGAAAGTAGAGTTAATCACTATGTATCTATCTGAAAACACATTTTTGAAGGGTTATCTGGGTTCTGTTGTGTTAGGTAAACTCCTAATTTCATTTCAGCTTATATTTTGACTTTGCTGATACAAACAAACATACAGACAGGCTGACACATACAAATACATATATTCATATCCATATACTTTGTGAAGATCCATGATCCTCAATATCTTTTGCCTCTTCCACAGACCTTTCCTTGTTCCCTATTCTCCGACAGTTGCTTCTGAACTTTCCTAATTCTGTGACCCTTTTATACAGTTCCTCATGTTGTGGTGACACACAACCACAGAATCATTTTCATCGATACACCATATCTGTAAATTTTGCTGTGGTTATGGATCATAATGTAAATAATTTTGGAGATAGAGATTTGTAAAAGGGTTTGAGAACCACCTAATCCTTGTGTTCTAGACATAAACATTCTGTTTAGTTCCTTGTTTTTTTAAGTCATCATTCTCGCTTTTGACAATCAAATGAGTAAAAGAGTGAGCATCTGCCTGGTTGGGAAACAGAAAATCAAGCAAAGCCAACCCACCTTGTGTGGAAAAGACGTTTATGTGCTTTGTCCATGGATAATTGCAATCCTAACCTGTTATAAGTGTTTTTGTGTACAGGGCATCCTTCTTAACAGTCTTCGGGCCACCCTGGTCAGGTACATATTTTCACCTAGCATCCAGCATCTGTCTTAGCTTTGGGCAATGTAGGAGGCCCACATATTTTTGAGGACTACATGAAAACATCTTCAAATACAGCGCCACCTCCACAGATGTTTATGATAGGGGAAAATGCTTGTTTCCACAGTGTGAGAAACTGCTGAGTATTGTCCAACCTCTGTTTGTGTCTGTAGACCTTCAAGGAATCCTGCCAGAAGTTCTATCAGGCAGGGCTAGAAGAGCTGTCCTTTGCTAAGGACACTGAAGAGTGCAGGAAACACATCAATGACTGGGTAATGGATAAGACTGAAGGTAAGAGGCTTTCATTTAGTTGGACATTGGAATTATGAGGAACAAGGTGGTCTGTGGGTGCCTGAGCTGTGTCCTCCATGGTGTTGCTCTTGTGGCCCATCTCAGAGCTGTGCTGGTATGTCTGCCCTGATTTCCTTGGGACTATCAGACCATAAAGTTGAGTCTCAAACTGTTTACTTCTCAACTGTGCTGGAAAGTCCCTGGAAAATGCTTTCTTTGGGGTTCCTGCTAATGTTCTGTCAGGGGAAATCCTGCCGTTCTCTGAAACACAGCCATCTTCTATTGGGATGGAGTTTAGACAGTGTATCAGTTGGAGTTGGCTCATTCCCTCCCTGTGGGAACCTGAACAGTGATTCTTAACCAGGACTGAGTTTACTTTCCAACTGTCACTTGACAGTGGCTGAGAGTATTTTTGGCTGTTGAAATTGAGGAAGGTATCTCTAACTAAGTCCCTTACCATGCACAACAGAGCTGACCCACAAGAAAGAAGTAATCCCAAGTAAAATGTCCATAGTGATGTAACTGAGATCTTGTAGTGATAAAGCCAAGAAGGCATTGTTAGAATCAAAGATATTGGGTTGTTTTCTTAGTATAGGCAACTTCTGCCTCTGTGAACTAGGCAGAAGTTTGGAGAAATGCTGTATCCTGAACTGCTGCACATATAGGCTCAAGGATATGCCATTGCAGCCATACCTGCTTCCAAACTTATCTTTACACAGGGCATGTTGGCAAATACCCAATACATCAGCACTGCTGAGGCTGAAGGAGAAAGGTTGTGTGTTTGAGGATAGCCTCTGCACCATAGCAAGTTTGAGGTCAGTCTATGCTATGCAAAAACTGTCCTATGAGGAGGAGAGGACATGGTTATTGTTTAAGAGCAAATGATGCCTTGGACAGAGCTGTAGCCTAGTTCTCTACCCTGTCTGGGCTTTATATTTTATGTTCCAGGACAATTGATTATAGGAGAATGCTTATGGCCATCCCATCCCCAAATCACTGAAAATGTCTCTTACAGTCTTCTTCTTCTTTTACATTTTGTGTTTATGTTATCTACAGGGAAAATTTCAGAAGTTTTGAGTCCTGGAACAGTCTGCCCACTGACTAAGCTGGTTCTCGTGAATGCCATGTACTTCAAAGGGAAGTGGAAGGCTCAGTTCGACAGAAAGTACACACGGGGCATGCTCTTTAAAGCTAACCAGGTATGGCAATGGTTTTCAATGTATTGTTATTTTCTTAAAATAGTACACTGGACAGGTGATGGATGAGAAAAAGAAAAGGTTATTTTACACTATCTTGATTCTTATCTATTTCTGAATGAAACTAATGCTTCTTCTATGTCTTTAAGTAGAGGTAGGAAGAGAAACTAGAATAATATATATACTGATAGTTTTTTTTTTCTTTTCTCATCCTTGGTCAATTCCATCTTACCTTTCCAGAAAAATGATCTGGGTTGTAGGAAGATCCTGCCTGAGCTTGTCATTAGGTTGATGTCATGCTATCACTATAGTTGCATAGATATCTTTTTTGCCATTTCAATGATAGTTACCAGATATATTTCCTTTAGAGTTCAAGAGAATAAAATCTTTAATGAAAGGAAACAGGTTAGCAGATGTTACTTGAATTTTAAATATAATTTTATGCATTCCCTTTAAATATGAAGTAGAATTTGACTTACGTCAATTTAAAAATAGCAGGCTTATGATTGTAAAATATATTTAGTATAGCTTTAAAACTGCCTGACTGTATAGCTCATGTCATGGTCCCCTCCTAAGAAAAGAAAAGATGTGAAACTAACTGTACAGCTGGGCAATGCCTCAGAGTATGGGTGTGTTTCTCTTTTATTTGTCCATCTTTCTAAATGAGACCCTTCAGTCCAAGGAATGAATGGCAATGAATGTCCTTCTTAATCTGGAAAAGTAACACTAAACTCAAGTGCACGGGAATGCTTCGCTAGGAGCGCTCTCAAAAACAAACACAATTTCTTCAAAAGTATTGTCAAGTTTTGTTCTGCTCCATTTAGCAAAATGTCCTTTTTACCTAGTGATAACTCTTCCAAGGAACAATAGTCCATTCAATGCTGCAATGTGCTAATGAAGATTTTACATTTAACAGACTAAGTGCATAGAAATAAGGACCGTCTTAGACTTTTCTGAGTCCCAGGAGTTGGGTATAGCTCGTTTTTGGTTAATTATACTTATTGTTTTGGAATTCTAATGTTAATTTCATTTTCATTAGGAGAAAAAAACAGTGCAGATGATGTTCAAGCATGCTAAATTTAAGATGGCGCATGTGGATGAGGTGAACATGCAGGTCCTGGTTTTGCCCTACGCAGAAGATGAGATGTGCATGGTCATTCTGCTTCCTGATGAAAACACTGATCTGGCTGTGGTGAGTCCCAGGCACCGAGTGTCTTGTGCATGCCAGATGAGCACATTTTCTCAGTCTGTCTCCAGACTACCATTTGCAGAGTTTCCAGCTCAGAGTTATCCTAAGTAGTGCTAGGTGAGCACCGAGGTGTTCCTTTTAGTGAACATGTGAATATACTTCTTTTAAGTGTTTATCAAGGAGTAGACAAGTTTTGATGAATCTAGGATGAGAACATTCCAAAAATACAGCAACTTTTTTTAATTCAGGAAGGCAAGGTTTATTGATAGCCCAATAATTCTGATTGTGGCAATGTTTCCCACAGGTTAAACATGCATATGAATCCCATGGGAATTATTTTAAGAAAGGCAGGTTTTAATTCAGCAGATAATGGGTTGAGATTTTGCATTTCTAACAAGATTTCAGATGGAGCAAGTGTAGCTGACCCATGGAGCATACCTTAAATACAAAGATCTACAGTATAGGTCTGGGGTTTACATTTAATCCTCCTATTGACAGAGAAGGGACAAAGTCCAAGGAAGGAGAGACTTACAAAGTAGAAGATGTATGACCAACAGTGTTCTGGTAAGCCAGCTTTCTGTTAGGGAAGTGCCTACCTACCAGAGTTGACATTAGGTTACTAAGCATTTAAAATCAGCATGAGCCAGCTACACCATCCTACTACATGGAGTCGATGGCAAGGCCACTTCATTACTTTGTTTTTTCTATATAATTAGAAAGCTGTTGGCATAAGTCAAGGATGAGAGCTACCATGGCCACCTGAGAAGAAATTTAGAAAAGTCTCAGAATAGAAACAAAGTCAAACAGCTGTCATTGCATGGGAGAACCCCTTACTAGGTGAAGGGATGAGGAAATGCAGGAGGCACTATCCCATTGAACTCCTAATTTTAAAAATTTGATCCTTTGTTATTCCAGGTGGAAAGAGCACTGACATATGAGAAGTTCAGAGCCTGGACAAACCTGGAAAACATGACAGAAAGTAAAGTTCAAGTTTTCTTCCCCAGGTTAAAGCTGGAGGAGAGCTATGACCTCGAATCTTTTCTTCAGAAGTTAGGAATGACAGATGCCTTCGAGGAAACAAAGGCTGACTTTTCAGGAATGACAACTAAGAAGAATGTGCCGGTGTCCAAGGTTGCCCATAAGTGCTTTGTGGAGGTCAATGAGGAAGGCACAGAAGCAGCAGCGACCACTGCCGTGATCAGGAATGCCCGGTCTTGCAGAATAGAACCAAGGTTCTGTGCTGACCACCCGTTCCTTTTCTTCATCTGGCACCACAAAACCAGCAGCATCTTGTTCTGTGGCAGGTTCTCTTCTCCATAAAGGCATTATCATGGGGCTGAGAAATGTAGCTCACTTGGTAGGACATTGGCATAACAAGCACCAGGCCATAGGTTCAACCCTAAGCACTCTATAAAACCAGGCATGATGGTGCCTATGTGCCGTGCTAGCACATAGGGATTTCAGGGCAGGGGGAACAAAAGTTGAAGGTCACACTCAACTACGCAGAAAACTTGAGGGCCCTGTCTCAAGAAGACAAGAAAAAGTAATGTGTGATTGTTTTACACATCATGTTTTGCCATGTGCCAGAATTAAAATCCTATGTTACCAGATTGACAAGATGGTTTTACTGTGCAAATAAAAATAGTATAGTTAGTGGTTGGTGATTATCTCTATTGACAGTTCCAATGCCATTCGTGGGAACTTGGCGCTGAGAAGGCCATACTTGGTTTGGAGTGTCTGAGGTGAGCCTCATTGTCTCCAGCCTTATTCACAGCCCAACTCTGGAAGTGCTATCCATGCTGCTAACATCTCCAAGCTGTGCCCTCCACCATTGCCAGTCTTGTCAGGCAATGCCTGTTGAAGGTTCCCCTTCACAAAGCCAAGGGTGAAAGCTATAGAGTAACTGCTATAATTTCCCTATGTCTCACAAGAAGCCAAGACAGTCTCTCATTGCATTAGTGTTACCCAACAGTCCTGTATGCCCCAAGGTTCAGATAACAATTCCCACAAATTTCCCACAAGTTCAAGGACTCAGCAGTAAACTTCAGGACAGAGTTGAAGGACAAAGCTCTAAAGTGTGTGGCCAAGCGTTGGTGGTGCACACCTTTAATCCCAGCACTCGTGAGGCAGAGGCAGGCAGATCTCAGTGATTTTGAGGCCAGCCTGGTCTCCAGAGCGAGTGCTAGGATAGGCTCCAAAGCTACACAGAGAAACCCTGTCTCGAAAAACAAAAACAAAACCAAAAACCAAAAACAAAAACAATAGCTCTAAAGTGTGGCCCTTAGTCCCCTCCCCTGCCCCATTCTTTCTAATGCACACAACCTTAAAAGAAGCTCCACACCGAATGATTCTTACAAACCAGATGTCTAATTAACCATAAGTGAGTCAAATGCACCCCTGATGCCCTAAATGCATAGATTCAAGCACCACTAAATGGATTCAGCAGATTGTGTTTTTACTTTTATGTGTGCAACAAAGAAGTCATGAACATGAGAGTGACTGAGGAAAGCACAAGAGGAGTCGAGTGTGGGGGGTATCTAAATGGAATACCAAATAATTGGATAGAATAGGAATAACTGAATGTACAGTTCAGTAAGTTCTGAAACATGCATCTACCCATAATGCCATCTGCATAGTTAAGATGAAACACATGACCATTACACCTGCAAATTTCCTCTGGAAACTTTGTAACATCTCTTTTTTTATTTTAAGAATATTTTAAAATTTAATTAAAATGTAATTTCATCATTTTTTCCCATTCCTTCTCCTTCCTATTGCTCCTATGTCTGCCCTCCAAAATCAGAACGCAAACCCCATCTTTAACCATAGTTGTTACGTACTCAAATAAAGGGATAAACATGCAAATGCAATCTGCAGAGGAGTCCATTCAGTGTCCCCTCCCTGCACGTGTGTTTCTAGGGCTGACCACTCAGTGTTAGATAACCAATTAGGGACTCATCCTGGACATGACTGACTCCCATTCGTAGCAGTTGTTATTTGTTTCTAACTCTTCATCTAAGGGCATGGCCCCATGATATTTCCTCTATCTATACTGGGATATCAACTCTTGGAATTTTCAGGTCTTGTTTAGGTAGCCGTATTGTTGAGGTTTTACTATTTAGCTTCCCTGTCATAGCTGGAAGACACTATTTCACAGCAGACTTCGTGGTGCTGGCTCTTACAACCACTTCTGTGTGTGCCCTGGGCTTTGTAAACTTGCTGTCCATCTGCCCACAGATGATCAGGGTTAGCCACTTATACCCACTCAAAGACAGCTGCTGAGAGTTGTGTCATAATTAATTTGTTATAGAATAATGTATGCATTTTTGTATTATTCCTATCACTCATTGAAAATATTTTTAGATTCTCCTTCATTACATTATACTTGATACATTATGGGATACTATATCTATATCAATAGTTTCTTTTATTTCTACATAATATGTCATTATATAGATGCAATATAATTTGTTTATCCATTCACAGTCTTATGGATATTTGCAATGTTGTCAAGTTTGATTACTGTAAATAAAGCTTTTAAGAACACTCATGTTCACATATTTGCGTTGCGGGATTCCCGCCTGGGTCCTGTGGCCACTTTAGAGCCCCCAAATAACATTCAGACTCTATTAGTTAAAATGCTGTTGGCCAATGTTTAGGGTTTTTAATATGCTAGCTCTATCTTAACTATTAACCCATAACTACTGATATATGTATTTCTAAAAGGTCAAAGAATGCCAGACTCATGCATGTGATCCCAGGAGAAGACTTTTTTTCTCATAGCAATGCTTTTAAAAATTAAAGTTTCTCAGTTTTAATGAAGTATAATTTTGTTTATGCATAATGTATTTATCATATCTAGGAACACTTTATTCAAACTAAGGTTTCAACAACTAGCTATGTGTCTTTCAGAAGTGTTAATTAATAGTGTTTAAGTGTAAATTTAGGGATAGAATCTATTTTGAGTTATTTATGTTGGAAATAGTATCCTTTGAATCTATGATTGCATTAATGTATATGTTGAAAGCCAGCTGATCATGTTTATGGGGTTATAATTCTGGATGATTGTATTTCATTGATTAGCCTGTTTTTCTTGATTCCAGCAATAGCACCTTATCTTGATTACTGTACTTAATACTGAACTTTGAACACCATTAATTCTTCCAAAATTATGATTATTTTTCAGAATTGTTTTATTTTAAGTCTCTTGAACTTCTCTAAATTTTAGATTTATTTTGTTTACTTGTAGAAAACTTGTTGGGATATTTATTAGGATTTATTTATTAGGAATGCATTGCTACTAGCATAATTCTAGAATGAACAGACATATGTACCTTTCAACCTGTGAACAAAGCACGTTTCTCCATTTTTAAGTTTTCTTTAAATTTTTGCATTGTATTTGTAGTTTTAAATATATAGTTTGCCCACAATTACTGTTATATTTCTTTTCCAGTATCTCTTATAGTGTTACATTTTATTTTTGATTTCTGGTTATTTGTTACTAGTATGTAAAATATATTGAGCTCTTGAATTTAATCTTGTTTTCTGTGGATATGATAAAACAAGTTAGATTTAGTAACAGTCCATTTCTCATGTCCTTTATCAACACTGACCTAAAGTAACTGAATAGGCAAAATTTTTATTTGGGCTTCAGTTGGGAAGACCTGCCCTATCACAATGAAAAAGGTGTGGCTATCCCTTCATAGTAATAGACACAGTGAGGAGAAGATGTGATGGCTGCTTACATTGCATCTGCAGACTGGAAGTGAAACAGAAACAAGATGTAGACTGGGATAAGCAGACTCCAGGTTTGCGTCAGTGACCCGCCCCTCCAATCGAGGCCCATCTCATCTGAGTACGAAGCCTCAAACAAATCTATCGATGCCATTTTACATTCAAGCCACAGCAAGTAGCTTAATTACAGACTTTTTGTCTGCTAATGAAGAAAACACTACTTGTTTTCCTAATTGGATCATTTTCATTTCCTTTTTGGTCTTTTTAAGATTGGTTTTTGATTAGAAGCACCAAACCACACATCGTGTTTTGTTTTGTTTTGTTTTTTATTTTGGAGAATGCCTGCAATTTCTCACCATTAGATGTCATGTTAGAAGGAGGTTTTCTGAGTCCTCAATCCCTGTTTCAGTTTTTCTTAACATGTAACAATGTTTTCTAGAGCCTAAAGATGCTAACATTTAGTGAGTTTATCAGCCAGAATTCACAAAAGCTAAAGGATTGAAATATCTGTAATTTTCTGACTGAGATAATGCCATCTTGTTCCCAGCCATAATATGTTGTCATTCAGAATAAAAATATGGTATGTATTGAGTTTTCTTGAAAGAAGTTTTTCCTCCTGGTTTATGTGTGGTCCAAAGTGTTGAAGAGAACTCCTAGGATCACAGCTGGAGTAAGGGCCTTTCTGTGGCATGTGATTAGTAGGCTGCAGTCCAGTTAACAGAATAATGACTGATGGTGAATTGAGTCCAATAAGCCAGAAGTTTCTCAGTCCACAAGGCTGGGTGTCTCAGCTGCTCAAAAAAAAAGGAGGTTTTCATAGATGTTACTTACTAGGTTGAAGGCATCTCTAGTTACAGTTTGATGAGAATTTTCTTTTTGAAGTAGGGATAAATTTCAAAACTAGTTTTACTCTTGGTGGTTGTGTTTTACAAAGCTTTATAGCTAATTTTTGTACAGTTCTGACAAAGGAATTTAAACAGCACTCTTGCACCACAAAGACAATACCCATAAGGCAAATAGAGTGGATAAATACTAGGTATACCTGACCCATGAGCCACTTTCTCTATAGTTTTTTGGCCTAAAGAGTTCATTGGTACCAAATATTTCTCCTACTATCAGCATTTCTTAGTTACCTTTAGTTATGTTTAGGATGGGGCCGCATGAGATTCCCTGCTTCCATGAGGGCATGCCTATTGGGGTTGAACTTGTTTGGATCTTAACATCATGATCTTGAGGTGAACAATGTCTGTTTCCAAACAAATATAATATCAGAATAAATTAGGGACCAAGATTATGAATTTAGTTGTTGATGAGTAACCATATATAAGAACCATTTTTCCTAACCTTTTGGGCTTTAGTTTTTAGAAGAGCTGGCACAAGCAAATTCATCACACTTATTTGAGAAAATTTCTCCTCATGAATTCTAGACACGGGCTTCAAACTTAGTATCCCTCTGCTTCGGTTTCATAAGTGCTCGGATTGCATACAAAGGCTACCATACCCGGCATAATTTCATTTTGATTATAACCACCACCGCCTCTTATTTCTGAACACTATTTCTCTGAAGATATTGCAGATTAACCATCTGGTAATTTGTTCTTTATTGTCTTAAGATGCCAAGAAAGATTCACTCTAATTGGTTTGATTTTAGCCCTTGTTGGTGGAGAAAGGTTACACCAAGTGACAGGTATCAAGGAGTTGGGTGCCTCTGGCAGTTCTTTTATTGTTCAGGATGGTTTTAGCTATCCCCGGGTTTTTTGTTTTTCCATATGAAGTTGAGTATCACCCTTTCAAGGTCTGTTAAGAATTGTGTGGGAATTTTAGTGGGTATTGCATTGAATCCATAAATTTCTTTTGGTTAGATGGCCACTTTTGCTAAGTTAATTGTACCAATCCATGAGCATGGGAGATCTTTCCATCTTCTTATATCTTCTTCATACTCTTTCTTCAAAACTTGAAGGTTTTATTACTCCTACATGTTACTTGGTCTTTTTCCTTTGCAGCTTTTAATATTCTTTCTTTGTTCTGTATGTTTGGTGTTTTGATTATTAGGTGACAAAGGGATTTTCTTCTCTGGCCCAATATATTTGTTATTCTGTTTGCTTATTGTACCTTAAAGGGCATTTTCTTATTTACATTAGGAAATTTTTTCTTCTATGAAAATATTTTCTCAGCCTTTAAGCTGGTATTCTCCTTTTTGTATCCATGTTATTCACAAGTTTGTTCCTTTCATTGTGTCCTGGATTTCTGATATATCCACTTCTATCATATTTTCACTAACTGAGATTCTTTCCTTCTTCTCTTGTATTCTGTTGGTGACCCTTGTGTGTATAGTTGCTGTTAGCATTCCTAAATTTTTCATTCCTAGGATTCCCTGTTTGTGTTTCCTTACTACTTCTATTTCTATTTCAGGTCTTGAATAGTTTTATTTATTTCCTTTAACTACTTGTTTTTTCTTAGCATTCTCTAAGGGATTTATTCATTTCCTCCAATTGTTCCTTTGTATTTTCCTGATTACTTTAAGGTATTTATTTATTTCCTCTTTAAGGATCTCTATCATCTTCAGAGAGTAAGTATATTGTCTTTTCTTTTGTTTCAGCTATTTTGGAATATTCAGGTTCTAGTATGGTAGGATAGTTTGGCTCTGTTCATTGGGCCCCACCCATAAACAAAGAACTAAAGACAGTTAAGGAATGCTGATAGTGAGGGAAATAATACCACCCCCATGAACCCCTGAATCAGCTATCCAATACAATTGACAATCCTGATAAAATATACATACAAATAACACTAAATAGACTGAAATTGTTGTATTTACAGTTTTGTTCATTTGTGTGTGTTTGTGCATGAAAAATAAAAACAATTAAGAAAAAGAGTTCATGAGTTTAAGAAAGAGCAAAGCACAAGGCTTGGGAGAAGGAAGGAAGGGAATGTGGAAAAGGAAATAATTATATTTTGATTTCAAAAATAAAAAATTGAATAAATATTTTCTAAAGATTGAGATTAAAATACAAAGTGAGGGAGAATGAGAAGGGGAAAAGAGGAGGGGTGAGGAGGACATGAGGGAGCAGGAAGTTTGAGTTGGGGGAAGAATAGACTAAAATAAGAGATAACATAATACAGGGAGATGTTATAGGTTTAAAGAGAAATCAGGCACCAGGAAAATGTCTGTAGATCTACAATGATGACACCAACTAACAATCTAAGCAACAGAGTAGAGGCTACCTTAAAGGCTAAAGGCCCTCCTCTAATAATGAGATTGATGGCTGACTTATATGCCATTCTATGGCCTTCACCCAGCAGCTGGTGGAAGTGGAAGAAAACAGCCACAGCTAATCACTGAACTGAACTGGAATCCAGTTGCAGAGAAGGAGGAGTGATGAGCAAAGAGGTCAAGACCAGGCTGGTGAAACCCACAGAAACAGCTGCCCTGAACAAAGGGAAGCTCTTGGTTCCCAGACTGATAGCTGGGAAACCAGCATGGGACTGATCCAGACCCCATGAACGTGGGTGTCAGTGAGGAGACCTTGGAAGTCTCCTCCCATTAGGATTATTTTTCATAAATAATGCATTCTGTTGTTTCTTTTGCATGGAAAATTTTTGCTACATTTTTCCTGGATTCTTTGGGAGTCATTCTCAGATTATCTTTATCTGAAGAGTTTTGATGCAGCTTCTTTCTTTCCTTTTCTAAGGCATTTATCTCTACAGGTTTCATCATCATCATCATCATCATCATCATCAACACACACACACACACACACACACACACACACACACACATTTTTACTTACTTTTGAAAAAAAAAGTCTGATTAACTGAAAGGCAGATTGAGGTAAGCAGCTCCAAAACAGCTTGATACACAAATGGTCAGAATGTCTCATCTATTGACTCATCCTGAGAGCTTCTCATATAATTGCCAATGCAACAGCACAGCCCCCATCTTACAGGGAATAAGAGGCAGTTTATTCTGCAGCTGTTTTGAGAGATTGTATCCAGAGAACACAGATTTAGGTTACTCCAAATTCTGTGGTCCAATGTGGAGTCACTTTCATGAAGTGGGATAGTTTTACCGAACAAAGAAAGTCATAAACCAGGGCAAGTTTAAAATAGGTGAGAGCACAGGAAGATTTGGTGGCCTTTGCAGAGCCCCCGTTGAGGGCCCTACTCTGCCTGGGGAGTGGTGGGTGGATGGGGTGGGGGGTAGGCTGGGGGAGGGAGAGGAGGGATGGGGGTGAGGGGAGGGAGAGGGAGAAGGGACTTACATGTGAAACAAGCTTGTTCCCTAACTAGAACTAATAAATAAATTAAAAAAATAAATAAAATAGGTGAGTGCATCAGACAGGTAGTTACAGCAAAATGGGGGAAACGTTTCTATAGGATCAAGATGCTACCTGATGATATTCTTAGGTTTTGCATTTGTGGAAGCTTGTAGGCTGCAAAGTTAATAGCTTTCAAAAAGTTTCTATCAATTAGTCACAGGATGTTAGTTCCGACATAGAAATAGTCAAGGAATGGCTGTTCAGAGGCCAAAACTAGCTGAAGACAAGGTAATTAGCCTCTGGACCTGTATCATCCAAATGTCTCCTTAGTACTGAACTTCCAATCAGTCCACCAGGCTCTGCAGACACATCACGTTTCAGCAGCTCTTGTTCATACAAGACACCTTTTTCATTTCAGTTAAGGACTTTGATGATAGCTTCCAGCCAGAGCCCGAAAAATAAAACTATGTTTTCTGTTCCAACATTTGTTTCATCTTCATCTTTTGTTCATACTATGGAGAATTTGAAAAACATAAATATTTT